TTTTTAAATAGGGAGGGATGGAGGGGTTGAAGGGAGGGCAGGGCAAGGGGTAAAAATAAGAACCAAGAGAGATTATGTAAAGGTGCAAATTTCCAGTAATGAATCTCATGATATTGTATACCTAAAATGTACCAATAAAATAAAATTTTTAAAAAAGGAAAGTTAAGATAAACTTCTCTGTTCCTTCCACAGAGCTCTTGGACAAACACCAATAAATGTGAAATTATAGAAAGTATGATTAGCTCCCAGATCCTAGAATGTTCCAATTAAGACAACTGGGTTGATTCCCAGTGCAACGCTAATCACTTATGTTCCCTGGTCCCTCTGAGAGTGATGGGTTCCTATCTCCCTCCTGCTGCTGTAAGTTGGGCTGCGTTCTACAGATCCCAGGGCCTCAAGAAACACCTACAATCAGAGGCTCAGAAACAGATGCGTGTCAGAACCAGAAGTAAGTTCTTGTCTTTTTATCTCCTGATTTTATTTAAGAGTCTCAAAATGAGGCCCAGAAATTACAGACGGTTTCCATCCTCAGCAATCAGGTTTTTCTTGATTTTACAAATCTGTGGGGAGCAGGAATCTTGACTTTTAGTCCTGAAAGAGGACAAGACTTCACTCAGTGGCTGTGCAAGTAGAAGTAGAGAGAGGAGGTCAGCCACGAAGAGTCAGTTATATTTCACTTGGTGAAGTGCAATTATTACTTTGATACCATTCCTATCAAACATACTGCTTATCTCTACTTTTCAAGCATGAACTGACTAATGCGTATTTCCCTCTAGAGATCCAGATGACACATTTAAGTTTAGTGTGCATTTTCATTTTCTTCCTAAAAGCACATCCTTTTCCTAAAAGGATACACTTATGATCTGCTGCTTTCACCAGCAAAATTTGAGCTTCAGTTAATTTCTCTGACTGAAGGCTTAGTGCCATTCACAGTGATCTTGGTTGATATTTTGCTAAAATATCACTGGCATAAAACAACAAGAAAGGCAAATACTCCACTCATTGTATGAAAATATAAATCCATGTTCAGATGTAGCTTATACAGTGGAAGAGCTCACAGATTCACATTCAGGTGACCCACATGACCCTTATATTTTAGTTTAAGACTGTGAGTAGAATCATTTACTTTTGTTGAAGACTCATAGCTTCATTGGCATTTTCAAGGAGTGCATGTAATCAAGTTAAACAAGTAAACAAACATTCAAAAAAAGATCCATTTTAAGAATCCCTCTAACAATGAATTCTTGCTGAAAGTCTTCCTTTAACTCTACCTTTTGACAACCTGCTCTCATTTAATTGTAATTAAACAGCCCACAAACTTTATCTACACAGCCAGCTCCTTGAAATCAGTTTCTTTCTAGTAAATTGTTATTTTGGGGGAAATCCTTGTCTTGGTTGTCTTTCTCCCTTCCTTTGTCTCTTCCTCCTTCCCTTTTTCTTTCTCTCTCCATTTTGCTCCTTCCTTCCTTCCTTCTTTGCTTCCTTTTTTCTTCTCTCCCTCCCTCTATCTCTCTCTTCCTTCCTCCCCTCCTTTTTTTCTTTTAAATTTTGGAATGGGGGCAGGGCCTCGCTGTTTACCTCCCTTTCCTCATCCTGGTGCCTCTGGATCCCAGGCCTGGCAGGTCCCTGTATTCAGCCTACCAGCTGTCCATGGCTCTGGGCTCAGAGAAGCCCCAACTTGTTTAATGCTCTATTCCACAGCCTGGAAACGTCTAATATTTTGAACAAGGCTCTTTGGGTTCTTATTTTGTGAGGAAGTCAGTGTACTATGGAATTGGTCCCCTTTCCAGGTTTTCCATTTCTGGCTTTGCTCTGTCCTTGTTACCAGAAGAGCCCACATGCTCTTCTCTGTGTGTCCCCTGGGCTCTGTCAACACACAGGCAGCCAGACCTGTGGGATGTGCTTTCTCCATACACACATCTCACTGTGATCTCATTTCATTCTCTCTCCCTCCAAGTGCTTCTGTTCTGCTTTTGTTGGGTATTGGTAGATACCACACAAGTCACAGAGCTTGTAACTCAAACTTCCTTAAAGTGAATGCCATAGGCAGCCATTAAGTGACACACAAGGGGTGATTCCTCCTGCACATGGACTCAGGTATAATTTTAGTGATGTCTCCTTTTTATCATTTTATCCTGCATTTATACATCCTGTTCACCTCCTCCCATTTCTCTCTGCTCCAGTTACCACCATCTATTCTCTTTGTGGGGCTTCCTGGATGTAGATGATGATCAAAATAACTTTTATTGCAGGGTAGGGGGGCACATGTATGTACTCCTAGCATTTGAGAGGCTAAGGTAGGAGGATCTGCAGGTTGGAGGCCAGCCTGGGCTACATAGTGAGTTCAAGGTCAGACATAGTGAAGCCCTGTCTCAAACAAACAAACAAAACCCAAAATAACTTTTTTGTCTCTTGCTGCTGTCACACAAACATATATTTTTTTAAAATATCTGCTAAATTTCTTGAAGAGCAGCTGTAAATAACCACTGATCCCAGTTCTCAAGTAAAGGCAGATGGTACTTTTCATGGGAAAGTCCAATATAGAGAAGAATCAGAGATTCAGTGAAGGAAACATTTGTGCTTTAGGTAAGCACTCAGCTATGATTCTCCACAGCTGTCTGCATGAGCTCAGGGCCCACAGGCTCACCAGCACATCCAAAGCGAGATCACGTGTTACCTGAGCGTCCTCTTTATTTTCCTTAAAACACTGTTTTTAGAATGGATACGTATTTCTTCCTTTTTTGGCCCTCTGAGTTGCAACTTAAAATACCATTTATTAACTTACAATTCCATCAGACATTTTCCACCAGAAGGAATGTATAAGGGCAAGCATGTTTGAAGATGTGTTCATCCCTGCATCTACAGTGTATAATCACATAATATTTTGAGCATCAAAAAGTTCAGATTTGGGAATATCTAGCTTAACTTCAACAATGACTAGAGACAGGCAGGCAGGATAAACAATACTGTCACACATTTCAAAAGGGAGAAATACAGTGATTTATCCAGCTATGAAATTTTTGAAATTATAGAATGAGCATTGAACCCAGATCTTCCAACCTACTTCTAATATCAGTATACATCATTGCTTCTACATAAAATATTACCCAGATGCATCAGGTGCACTGCTCTGTTTTCCATGCTGCACTACATAAGAATGTCGTGATTGTCCTTATTCTCAGCTATATTATGTCCATCAAGACCTTCTTGTTCTGATCATACAGCTTCATAACACAGCTGAGGTTTAGGGAGGCAAAATATCACCAACAGAGTCAAACAAAGGAGATTCTTAACATGGAGAGCAGATCCTATACCCACTAGTAGTATGTCCTTCTCCTGATTATTTCACTTTTCTGTACTTCATTTGTCTCAAAAGTAGTGTGAGGATGATGGTTTCTGTCAAATAGAATCATGTACATATTAACTCTTACTGCACGCAAAGTTTAGCCTTGAGCTGCACCTTGGTATATGTGTTTAAAATCCACAGAAGCCATCTAGCATTTCTAGTGGATAAAAAAATTTGTCAGGTACTTAGCTATCTGGAGATACACCACCAAAACGATACTTCCTAGTTTACTGACCTAAAACTTACAGGAAAGTGAATGTGGTGATGAATTTTGGAATGAGATGAGAACTAGTAAAAAAGATTTTAAGTATAAGGGAAAAGGCAAAGGTTTAAAATATCTTGAGAGAAAAGAGGAAGGGATTCAGGGCTAATTGGTTGTGACATTAGGAGAAATAAAAACATTGGAGGAAATTCTAATACCTAAACAGCTTAAATGTTAACTATGCAAAATTTAACTCTTTTTCCTTAAAAATATTTCAAGTCATTGCTGTCACAATCCTAAAATCACCATGGAGAACTTCATCCATCTGAAGGTTATTTTTTCACTTATTTTATGTGTGCATGTGATTCTTTCTCTCTCTCTCTCTCTCTCTCTCTCTCTCCCTCCCTCTCCCCCCTCCCTCCCTCCCTCTCTCCCTTTCTCTCTCTTTCTTTCTTTCTTTCTTCTTCCTTTCCTTCTTTCTTTTTCCTTTCTTTTTCTTTCTTTCTCTCTTTTCCAATGCTGAGCACCAAATTCTAGGTCCTCATGCATGTGAGGCAAACACTGTGACACTGAGTTACTCCTGCAGCTGGTTTTGGAGCTCTTGAGACAATACCTTCCCCAGCTTCACTTTGCGAAGACTTGCATTACGATTCTCTGGATAAATATAAAATATGAAGAACCAAGTAACCTACATAGGACATTCTAAAATAAAGTATCTGGGAATATGTTTGAACAATAAGCTTCCCCCAAATTGATTTATACACAAAATTTCAAAAATCACTTACTTTTCCCCATTACATAACATCATGAAAAGCTGTGAGGGACATAGGTGTGTTAAACATTGCTAATTAATCCATTCATGCTACCAGTATTTCTTTTGTGAAAATCAGTGTATAAATATAAGAGGAATAGTCTTGGTAAAATAATGAACCAGATTTTGTTCCATCCTTCAAGACCTACTATAGGAGAAGTACAAAGTAAAACATGTTACTGCAATGTAATGTTCTCAGAATAAATTAGAGGTAAAGTAGGTATACCGGAGGTGTACTGTAAAAAGAGATTAAATCAATCTCATATATGTTGGGAAATAGGGTGAAAAACATGCATCACCAAACTTTGGCCTTCCATCTGACCATTGTAGGATAAACATATTGAAAACCCAAAGATAATGAGGGTAGGCTGAGCTCAGTTTTACACAGTTTCACTTAGATATAGGCATAGGTTTGATATCTACATGTATATGGGTACAGTGATAGAAATATAGCAGTAACTTAAGAAAAGGACAAATGAAACAATGGTTTAGTGGAAACACAAAATGAAATTACAGTAATATTCACTGTGGATCATATATTGTAAGAAGAAGATGATTTCTGCGGTCATTAACATGGTCTGCATCTCCATGTCTGCTTGGGCTCCTCCCCAGTTCCACGTGGAGCTGCCGGCTCTGAGGAAATGTCCCTCGCCAACAGCAGCACCCTAACAGAGTTCGTCTTGCTGGGGCTCACAGGCCACCCGGATCTCCAGCCTCTGCTCTTCGTGCTCTTCCTGCTTGTTTACCTTGTCACCGTGCTGGGCAACCTGGGCATGGTGGTGCTGATCAGACTGCACCCGTGCCTCCACACGCCCATGTACTTCTTTCTCACTCACCTGGCCCTGGTGGACTTGTGCTACACCTGCAATGCCACCCCGCAGATGCTGGCCAATTTCTTATCAGACACGAAGACCATTTCCTTTGCGGGCTGCTTCACCCAGTGTTACATTTTCATTGCTCTTCTCCTGACGGAACTTTACATGCTGGCTGCCATGGCCTATGACCGCTATGTGGCCATCTGCGACCCTCTGCTCTACAGTGTGAGGATGTCCCGGCGAGTCTGCATCAGCTTGGCCACACTGCCCTATGCCTATGGCTTCTCAGATGGGCTGGTGCAGGCCATCCTGACCTTCCGCCTGACCTTCTGCAGGTCCAATGTCATCAACCACTTCTACTGCGCGGATCCGCCTCTCATTAAGCTGGCCTGCTCGGACACTTTCGTCAAAGAGCATGCCATGCTCATCTCCGCGGGTGTCAACCTGTCCGCCTCCCTCAGCATCATCCTGGTGTCCTACGCCTTCATCATCACCACTATCCTCAGGATCAGGTCCACAGAGGGGAGGCGCAAGGCCTTCTCCACCTGTGGGTCCCACATGGTGGCTGTCACCTTGTTCTATGGGACTCTATTCTGCATGTACGTGAGGCCACCAACAGACGAGACTGTGGAACAGTCCAAAATAATAGCTGTCTTCTACACTTTTATCAACCCAGTGCTTAACCCATTAATCTACAGTCTGAGGAACAAAGATGTAAAGCAGGCCTTGAAGAATGTCATCAGAAAAAACACTGTCAGAACAACGACTGTATCTTCAATTTCTCATAAATCTTAACTCTACAATGATTGACTCAAATGTTTTATATAATCTTTGTACACTTTTGTTAGGAATGTAAATTAGTATAACCACTCTGGAAAACAGTATGAACTTTCTTCAAACAATTGCCTACAGAAATATCCTAAGAGTGAGAGTTCCATGTGACAGTACATATCAAAGTGAAATCAACCTGGAGAAATAAAATGTATGTTTCTATGTTTATTGCAGCTATATGCACAAAAACTGATATATGAAATCCACATACATGTATATCAGCCTAAAAAAAGACAGACATCTTTTCATTTATTGTAACATGGATGAATCTGGAAGACATTATTGTAAGTGAAGTAAACCAGGCATAAAAACACAAATACTGTTAGATCTCACTTATGTGTGGAATCTAGAAATGTCTAACTCATACATTCAGAGAATGAGTTGGCCCAGGGGACACATGATGGGATTAGGGAGACCTTCCTTACAAAATTTTACTAGAGAAATTAGATCAGGACATCTATTTTTTTCCTTAAATTATTTTATTGGTATATTTTAGGTATACAATACAGTTGCATTTATCACTGGGTACTCGTACCTTTACATGATGTATCTTGGTTCTTATTTTTTACCCATTCCCTGTCCTCTCTTCACCCCCTCCACTGCTCCCTATATACAAAGGCTTTGTTTCCATTTTTTCCTTTTCTCACAATTTTTCCTTTCCCTTCTTTCCTTTCCCCTCCCCCTCCCCCTATCGCTATTCCTTTGGACCTTTTCTTCCTATTTCAAATTATCAATTATTCATTTTAATCATTTTAATCCTTACTTACACTTTAAGTTCCTCACATCAGAGAAATTATTCGGTATTTACACATGTGTGTCCTATTTATTTCACTTAAGGGTATGGTCTCAATATGCATCCATTTAGCTATAAATGTCTCTAGTTTGTTGTTCTTTATGGCTGAGTAGTACTCCATTTTATAAAAAACACACATCTTCTTTATCCAGTTTCCACTTGATAGGCACTTGGGCTGTTTCCAAGCTTTAGCTATTACAAACTGTGCCACTATAAACATGGGTATATATATATATATATATCTATATATCACTGTGGTGTTCTTTTAATTCTTTTGGGAAGATATCTAGCAGAGGAATAACTGCATCAAATGGGGCCTCTAGTCTTAGTTATTTGAGGTATTTCCATCTTGATTTCCACCTTGGTTGCACAAGTCTGCACTCCCACCAACAATGGAGAAGGGTTCCTTTCTCTCCACAGCCCTGCCAGCATTTGTTATTGGTTGATCTCTTGATAGCAGCCATTCTTTCTGAGGTGAAGTGGAATCTAAGCATTGTTTTCATCTGCATTTCTCAAATGACCAGTGATGTTGAACATTTTTTCATATGTTTATTTGGTGCTTTTACTTCTTTGTGTGAGAAACGTCTGTTCATTTCAGATGCCCATTTTTGGATTGGGTCTTTAAATTTGGGGGGTCTGATTTTTAAAAATTCTTTATGTAGTCTAGATAGTAGTCCTTTGTCTGAGAAACAGGTGATAACATTTTTTTCCACATTGTAGGTTTTCTCTTAGCTCTGTTGGTGGTTTCTCTCGCAGTGCAGAAGCTTTTTAATAAGATGAGATCCCAGTTGTTGATTCTTTTTGCTAGTTCTCATGCTACTGAGGCTTTGTTCATAATGTCTTTTCCTATGCCAATGTCTTTAAGAGTTCTACCTAACTTGTCTTCCAGCAAGTTTAGTGTTTCTGTCTTAATATTTAGATCTTTAATCCACTTCAATCTTAGTTTAATGCCTAGTGATAGATATGTGTCCCATTTTAACCTTTGGCAGGTTGAAATCCAGTTTTTCCAACACCATTTATTAAAGAGGCTATCTTTCCTCCAGTGCAGATGGTTGGCACCTTTGTCAAAGATGAGGAGGCTGAGTATGTCTGGAATTGTTTCTGCATCTTCTAATCTAGTCCTCTGATCCTTAGATCTGTTTCTTTGCCAGTACCATGCTGTTTTTATCACAGTAGCTTTGTAGTATAGTTTTAAGTTGGGGATTCTGATACCCCCAGCCATGTCTCTGTTGGCTAGAATTGCTTTTGCTATTCTAGGTCTCTTCTGGTTCCAAATGAATTTTTGGATTGTTTTCTCTAGTTCTGTGAA